ATTTATTTATTTATTTATTTATTTATTTATTTATTTATTTGTTTGTTTGTTTGTTTGTTTTTTTAAGTGAGTTGTTGAAGCAAAATGCAGCATTCAGGCACTTTTAGCATTAACACTTACACAAAATTTAGAAGTCCTATTTTGCAAATGCTGCCTTCCTGAAATTTGGTATGCTTGTTTGTCTTTGTGTCTATGGTGTATAATGATGTGATTGTGATGCTGTATTTCTGAGTGTTTTATGTGCTGCAGAACAGGAACTTGCTGTAAAACAGCAATTATGCTGAGTCAGGCTTGATTTTTAGTAATATTTTCCTGTTAAATCAATAAGTCAAATCAAATGAAATCATTTGTTTACACTTTATTTGCATGAAAGATTTTTTCACGAGTAAAGTGAAAAATAAAATCAGTGCAGAGGCTCTACAAGTCATTAGTCAGTCATTAGTACATTGTGTCAGTGTGCTTATTGTTTATTTTGCATGTGTGTGTAGTAGAAGGTAATAGGGGGATTATTTTATTCTTTTATATTATTACACTTTTATTCTGTCATGACAAAACATTTTTATTTGCCTAAAATCTTTATCCTGGGTTGTATCATAATTGACTAACTAAAAGCAAAATCACAAAATTATTCAATGAATGCGACAAGAATTGGTATTGGAATCGATGCTAGCCCTATATTTAATTGATATGGACTCTGAATTACCCCCCTGAAGCATACAGTATGTGTCTTATAGCTGAAGTCAAAAAATCCAAACAAACTTCTGTGAATTTCACTGTCAGCCATCACAAAATGTAGATTTCTGTGCTATTTTTACCTCCCATGTCTGACAAGTTTCATACAAACAAGTTTGTGCAAACATCGTCTCTGCTTTTTTTTTTTTTTTACTAATATAGTCTGTAAAAAATGAATCATGATGCCCATATTATGTCCTAATGTTTCACTTAATGTGTGGAAGATTAAATCCCCAAATCAGGTTGTTTTTGTGTGTCTGCTGACTCAAACAATTCATTCACACTTCTGTTTTGCTTTGATGGCTGTAATGCACCATTTCCAAGGTCTCGTAATGGAAGACGAGAACATTTCCCTTGTTGCATCTCTGCTCTGCTTCTGAGTGATCCTGTGTTGATTCTAAAATCTTGCTCCTCACCTTTAGGGTCTCTGATGATCTTGCCCCTTAATGCTTGACAGACTTTTTGAGATGAACTCTTGTGACAAGTCAGATCAAAGAGAACGCCCTGCTGGTCCCAATTTGTGACACAGATGGGTTGGGTGTTCTCCGTGTAGCCCCTCTGCTTTCAGAAGTTGCACACATCAAATCTTATTCTGCCTTCAAAGCTAAACCTGAAAATTTCTGTTGACATTTGTTTTGTTGACAATCCAACAGACTGAACTTACATTGTCATTTTTGCAAAGAATTTTGTTATTGTAGTTTTTTAAAAATATCCATCAACAATTTTATATATATTTTTTTCAGTTTAATTGCAGTTTTAGGTTCAATCAAGCAGATGTTTTGGTAATCTCCCTCCTGGTTAAACAGAAAAACGTGCATCCAAAAATAATCCAACATCTAGTTTTTATTAACATGAAAAAAGAATAAAGATATCTGCAACCAGAACAGCCTGAAAATGATCATGTGTGCATAAACTTCATGGTTTCAAGCTTTGTAGGTTATGCAGAGTAATAGTAGGGGAGACTAGGGACGGTACAACAAGAGACGGTTGCAACATGTCCATTTTCTCCAAACAGAAACAAGCTAAAGCAATGACACTCACACTGCACACGCTCAGTTAGATATCCCACATTGCAGAGAAAAAGCAAGCAAACTCAAAACCTGCTCCTGGATTTATTGGGG